GGGTCATTTTTTCTTTTTCAAAATGTAGTTTTCTCTTGCTTTTCATAATGTAGTACTCCCCACCACATTCCATACTTTATATTTTAGATTAAATATTGATGTTTACCTTATATACATTTAGATTAAAAAATATTCTATATAACTATTTATCCATAATTTTTTAAATAGTTTCCTAATTTTTCATGTAGATTAATATACAAAAAAACGGTATTATTCATATTAAAAAGTTGAAAAAAATTGGAAGAATGAATGTGAATCACAAAAATAGTGAGATGAAAAAATGAAATAATTTATAAACTATAGGTATGAACATAAAAGTTGTAATTAAAAAAAGTTGTAATAATAATAATAATAATATATTTTTTAGAGTGATTTGTTAGAAAGTAGAAAGAATTTGAAGAAAATAAATATCGTTGGAAGAAATTAGAAGAAACTGGAAAAAACTAGAAAAACTGGAAAAAACTAGAAGAACTAGAAAAACTGGAAGAAACTGGAAGTTAAGAGTTCAAACTCTAAAGAACAGGCTCTAAATATCATCAACGATCTACCAGTGTCTTTGACTCAATCCCGATAGGAGTCGAACACTCCGACTACTCTAATGAATACTCTAATGAAACATGAGATGTTTTGCTTTTTGAAGAGATTTAAGGGATTGTATTTTGACATTGAATTTCCAAAAATGTCCTTTGATGTGATGGGTAAAAGTAGAATTTGATGGGTAGATTATTAGTAAAAAGGTATGATGTGATAGGTAGGGTATGAAAAAGTAAGGGGTAAAAGTGACTTTTTAATAGAAATGAGAAATGTTTTATGGGACGGATGAAAAAAGAAAGGAGGAAGGTTTTATGGGACGGAGGGAGTAGTATACAACATCCTCACTATTTGTTAATATTTTTAAAATGTCATCAATTTTTTATATTTAGTTAGTGAGGTTAAATATTCAATCACGTGTTAAAAAATACAAAATTGATTTTATTTGTATGATCCGAGTTCTAAAAATCTATGTTCGTTATCGTTTTTTTCATTTTAAAAATGAAAGTTATAAAGCTGATTTTTTTAGTCAATTTTAAATTGCTTAAAAGATTATTAAGTGAGTTAATATTAATATAACAAAGACACTCGAATCTTCTTTTAAAAATTCATGATGTGCATTTAATCAATTTTACAAAGTTCAAATGATCTAATAATATACTCCCCGTCCTAAAACTTCCTTCCCGGTTCAGTTTATGAGGTTTGACTGAAATCAATTTCAATTCAATTTATTTGATTATAGGTATTAAATTAAAAAATAAAAGTTATATATTTATAAGCCATATCAACAATTCTAAAAATAAGAGTTGACATGAATATATTGTTTTATGAAAAAACAACAAAAATAGGTAAACAAAGTGATTAAAGTTTAATCATGTGAATAATGTCTGGAAAGAAAGTTTTATGACGGAGGGAGTAATTTGTTTCAAACCTCAAGTCCTCCATTATATTTGTGTAAATACTTCGCATTGGTTTTTTAAAGAACATGTTCTTACTTTGATTGCATTGTGTTAGTACACAATAATAGTTTGGTTGGAAGATCTCTAATCCTTTAATTTAGATAGACATGAAAAAAATTAATAAACAATCAATCGTAGTATTGATTGAATTTTTAGAATTTTTATATATAATTTATTCAATTTGTATTCAGTTTCAATGTTTAAACTGTATTTCTTTTATTAAACATATAATACACGAAGATATCTGTATATGTAGTTCGAACGTGTAAAAGGAATAATAAGACATATTTTAAAAATGTGATCTGAATTATACACGAACATATAAGTAAATGTATTGTACACGTACTCAAATATGCTAACAGAGAAATAAATATTAGTAACATATATATATATATATATATATATATATATATATATATATATATATATATATATATATATATATATATATAGGGGCCGGTTCTCGTGAGAATGCACCTTGTGGAGAGAAATGAGAATAAAATCTAGCCGTCGGATCTGATGCATCGTGCGGCTCAGATTGCATCCTGCGCTCAGATTTTGAGATAGTGCATTTTCGATGGTTTATGGTGCATTTCGACGTGATGCATTTTCGCACCATTTTGGTGCATCTAATTTTGATGAAATCTTGACCCTTAGATCTTACAATCTAAAGCACCAGATTCATTCTCATTTCTCTCCTAAGATTGCATTCTCACCAGAACCAAAATCTATATATATATATATATATATATATAGGGGCTGGTTCAAGTGAGAATGCAACTTGGTGAAAGAAATAAGAATAAAATCTGGTCTTTGGATCTGATGCATCGTGCGGCTCAGATTGCATTCTGCACTCAAATTTTGAGATAGTGCATTTTCAAAGGATTATGGTGCATTTCAACATGATGCATTTTCAAACCATCTTGGTGCACCTAATTTTGATGCAATCCTAACCCTTAGATCTCCCAATTTAATGCACCAGATTCATTCTTATTTCTTTCATTAGATTGCATTCTCACCTGAACCAATATATATATATATATATATATATATATATATATATATATATATATATATATATATATATATATATATATATATATATTAGTCGTTCTTTTACTTCTTTGATACATCCATTAAAGTTATACTCCCTCCGTCCCAAAAAGATTTACACGTTTTGACTAAAGTTAAAATTAAGGGAGGGATAATTTTGTGTTGACTTTCCAATAATACCCTTGATGTGATGGGTAAAAGTAGGATGTGATGTGTAGATTATTAGGAAAAAGGTATGATGTGATAGGTAGGGTTTGAAAAAGTAAGGGGTAAAAGTGGTTTTTTAATAAAAATGGGTAGGAGTTTGTGGGACGCAATTTTTTTGAAAGGTGTAAATCTTTTTGGGACGGAGGGAGTACTAAACAACTAATATATTAATGCATTACTTTATTTAACAAATTATTTTTAAATTATTTAAAAGTTGTTACTCATGCAAATCGGGCCGGTTCAAAGCCCGTAGGTACCGGTGAGGGCCGAGCTCAAATTTAAATTGTTACACCCTCTATACACGCCACCCTGGCCCGCACTTTGATCAGGTATATATATAAATATATAATGCTCCCTCGTTCAACAAGAGTTTCAGCATTATTTAGTTACTATATATACACCTTTTAAGAAAAATTATCCACGGACAACGTACATTTAGCTTTAGCATTTTAAAAATTAGTTTACACAATAAAAAAAGTATAAAACACTAACCTTAGTTGAGACTTTATTCGACCACAAACAAAGTCATAGTACTAGAGTATTATTTCTAATATATCAAAAATGGCTTTCTTTTTAAAGGATTTTTTGCACCATTTACTTCCAACTCTGAAAAACTTGTTGTCTTGATCTTCTATTGCATATAATTAATATTCTACTTTTACATGCATTGTATCGGGGTTGGAACTTGATTGTTTCTTTTCGTTGTGTATTAATAATTAAACTGTCCAGCCAAGGATCTTGTATACCAATGATAGCGCTATCTTCTCCCAAATGAAAAGTCATGTGTACGTTCTATCTGGATTACCGATGGTTAATTCTTGTAGATTTCAAATCTTTTACTTGGGCTCTCTAACTGCCCAAAATCCATCTAGGAACTATACTCATAAATTTGTTACAAAACATATTTTCCATTTTGGACAAAGAGCTAGCTATTTTCAATTTTACATACATACATACATACATACATACATACATACATACATACATACATACATACATACATACATACATATATACACACACTCCATCCGTCCCTAAATAAACTTTCCTTTTTGACTTTTTGAGAATTTAATGGAGAGATATTTTTGTGTTGACTTTCCAAAAATACCCTTGATGTGATGTGTAAAAGTAAGATGTAATATGTAGGGTATGAAAAAGTAAGAGGTAAAAAGGGTTTTTAAGGGAAAAAAGAAGTTTATTTTGGGACAAAGAAAAAACGAAAGGGAGAGTTTATTTAGGGACGGAGGGAGTATTAGTTTAAATATTATTTCATTAAATTTATTTATTTGATATTTTTAAAAATTTTATTCCATGATATTAATATGCAATACAAATACAATTGATACAATAACAACAACAACCCAGTTGAATCCCACTATAGTAGGGTCTGGGGAGGGTGTGTGTACGCAAACCTAGCCACTACTCAGAAGTAGAGAGGCTGTTTCCAAGAGACCCTCGGCTCCAACTATATAAAAAATATTATAGGAATCACAGTATAACACACATAAAGCACCAAGTACAATGGAATGAAAGTCCTGCAAGCAATAGCAAAAATTTTCAACCAAACAAAACACACTACTAAAAACCCCCGAAGCACTTATCCAGCTACTCTAATCATAGTTCTCCAAAGGTTCCTATCTAAAGTCATATCCTCAGTCAGGGTGAGAAGTCCTAAATCATGCCTAATCACCTCCTTCTAATTCTTCCTAGGTCTACCCCTTCCCTTACTTCCCCCGACAACCGTAATCCTCTCACATCTCCGTACAGGGGCGTCAGCATTCCACCGCCTCACATGACCAAACCATCTCAACCTCGCTTCCTGCAGCTTACTTTCCACCGGCGTCATGCCTAACTGACGTCGGATAACTTCGTTCAAAATCTTATCCAACCTTGTCTTCCCACACATCCATCATAACATCCGCATCTCTACCGCATGCAGACGACGCACATGAGTCTTCTTAACCGCCCAACACTCTGCCCCATATAACATACCACGTCTAACTACGGACCGATAGAACTTACCTTTCAGCCTGGGCGAAATCTTCGGATCACACAACACCCCTGAAGCTAACCGCCATTTGGCCCAAGCCACTCCAACAAGATGTCCAATATCCCCGTCTAACTCCCCATCAGCCTAAATTACTGAGCCAAGATATCGAAACTTGTCAACCTTAGGCACTAGGTGGGAGTCAATCCTAACTTCCACTTCTGATTCCGTTTCCCGACCGCTCAAATGATATTCCATGTATTCAGTCTTGTTCCTACTTATTCTGAATCTTTTGGTTTCAAGGGCAAAGCGCCATAGTTTCAACTTATCGTTTAGTCCCTCACGCGTGTCGTCGATAAACACAATATCATCCGCAAAAAGCATGCACTATGGGACCCCTTCTTCAACACCTTGTGTTAGGACATCTATAACCAAAACGAACAAAAAAGGCTAAGGGTAGGCCCCTAGTGCAACCCCATCCCTACCGAGAATGACTCGGAGTCGCCCCCCGGAGGACCTTACCCTAGTCCTAGACCCACCGTACATATCCTTGATCGCCCGAGTGTACGCGATGGGAACTCCTCTCGACTCAAGGCACCTCCATAAAACCTTCCTTGACACCCTATCGTACGCTTTCTCAAGATCAATAAGCAGCATATGAAGGTCCTTCTTTCTAGCCCTATATTCTTCCATTAACCTCCGCACCGAGGTGAATGGCCTCTGTAGTTGATCTGCCAGGCATGAAACCAAACTGGTTCTCAGAAATGCATACCCCTTTCTGCACCCTATACTCAATGACTCGCTACCAAACCTTCATGGTGTGGCTAAGCAGTTTGATGCCTCTGTAATTCTCGCAACTCTGAATGTCACCCTTGCCTTTAAACAGAGGGACCAAGAGACTCTACCTCCATTCATCAGGCATCCTAGCTGTCCGAAAGATAACATTGAAGAGTTTGGTTAACCAAACCCACCCACCACGACCCGCATGCTTCCAAAACTCCACCGGAATCTCATCTGGTCCCAAAGCTCTCCCACTACGCATCACGAGACGCCTCGGACTGCCCCAGCTCATCAAGAACTAGCCTCTGGTCTCCTCCCGCATTTAAGAGTTAACAAAAGTACTCCCCCAGCGCTTAGCCACCTTGGCCGTTTCAACTAACACTCTACCATCGCTGCCCTTCACGCATCTCACATGGTCCAGATCTCGGGCCTTCCTCCCATGCACCTTAGCAAGCCGAAACAGTTGATTAACACCGCCTTTCTCCTCTATATCCTTGTAGAGGCGTTCAAAGGCAGCATTCTTTGCCCTCGTAACATCTAATTTAGTTTCTTTATGTACCTTCTTGTACTCCACTCGTAACGCCGATCTTTCCTTCTCATCACTACAATCCATGTACCTCAGATATGCCACCTTCTTGGCTTCCACCTTACTTCGAACTGAATCACTCCACCACCAATCACCCTGATGCCTACTCCTAGAACCAAAGCTCACACCTAACACTTCCCTGGCTGTTTCCCTGATGCAGTTAGCAGTCTGCGCCCACATATCAGTAGCCTCAGCTCCCCGGCAGATTCCCATGCACATTTCTCTTGCACTCGCCTGATCAACTCAGAGATTTTCTCCCCGCTTAGTCTCCTCCACCGAATTTGTGTGTTGCCACCCGTAGCTCTCCTATGTTTCATCCACCTGATCATGACATCCATCATCAATAGCTTGTGTTGGGTAGAGATGTTTGATAATTAAATTCCATTTAGTTTGTCTCGAAAAATTAAAAATGGACAAAAGATGTATTTTTTGAATCTAGTTTTCAAATAATGCAAATTATTACGTGCGCTTAAGATCTATGGTGGACCTCCATATATGATAAATAATCATTTTAAAGTGTTGAAATAAAGATTTTTAAAATTAAAAACAAAAGTGTGAGAAGATCCATGCCAAACTTTTTTCTTTATTTCTAAATTTATTTGTGTGAGTTATTATTATTTGTCAAAATAACCTAACGATGGCAAATTTCATCATTCGTAACCAAATCATCATAGTTATGTGACAGAGGAGTATAATTAATTAGCAGTTGCATTTAGTACGTCTAGCTGGTTAATTAATTATAAGGATGATATATAAAGCAAATCGTACATATATATGTATACAAACTTTCTTAGCTAAATTAGGACCACAGCAGACATGCATTCCCATGCAACCTAAATAATGCTTCCCGTTTTTAATGTAGTGTGAGAGGACCACGGCATGCATATATAGCATCATTACTAGCTCCTCTTCTTCTTCTTTTTTTAAACGATTTCTTTAAATAATAATGAAAAAATTTTGCCATATTTTCATTAGCAATATGTAAAATTATAGAATAAATAAGGTTAGAAAAGTTATATTTAAATATTTTATTTGAGAAAGAATTAGTACTTTTGATAATTATTTTTCTTTTTGGGTCATAATAATAATCAACTTTTTTTTATCTGAATAAATAATATACATAAGAGGATAAGATATAAAGAAATCACTCTAAATCAAAATAAAACATTGATAAAGTAGCAAAATGAGAGCTTCATATTTTTATCTCCAAAATGAGACTTTCCACTGTGATGATGCGTGTGATCATTTAACACTAATTTATTTCAAACCATGTATTATTTGGATGTGGTAAAAAAGTTAAACCCTAAAGAATTTTGTGAGTGAGAGAGGGAGCATAGGCTTGATGAGAGAGAGATAGCAACACATTATACTCCCTTTGTTTCTTAAAATACTTCTTCTTTCATTTTTTATTTTTCTCATAACACTTCTACTTTCTATTAAAAAATCATTTTACCCATATTTTTTCTAATTCTACCTATCACATCATACTTTTTTACTAACATTCTATTCATCACATTTTACTTTTATTCATCACATCAAATGTAAAATTAGAAAATTACCACAAATATTCACTCCTTATTTCTCCTAAAAATCAAAATAGACACCGTTTTACGAAACAAAAAAAGTATTATTTTACTTCAATTCTTTTGTCTAAAAAAAATAAATAAATGTACAGTTTGACTTTTTGTTTAAATTTTACAAATTTGACAAAAAATCATGAAAAAGTTTACATATGTTTAATGTAAATACGATAATTTTAAGATGTAGTTTTATTATATATACGGAGTATTAAAGTTTATGCTGCGTAACATTTATTTATTTAGCATTATATTTACTAATGTGTGGAGTAATTTGATATAAAAAAATGTAAAGATCGAATTTCATTGAAACAAAAAAAGGAGGACTATAGATATTGCATTATTACTGCAACGTCGATCGAGTGACATATAAATATAGTCCATAATTTTTTGAGCTAACAAATACTCCAAATAGTAAAGCTCATTAATTAACCACCCTCTACCACGTACCAAACCAAACACCATCACGTTTTTCATGTCGCCGGACGACATGATTCTTGCCGTGCATTGCCGGCCGGCCGGCCGGCCAGATTTTGTCACTTCTCTAATTACTACTCTAAAACACCCACATAGTGGCCACATGGGAGCATTATATATACAGTATTACCTACGCCATATATCTTAACATAAATGTTAGAAATTAACTTGCCACATTTGACATTTAAAAAAAATTGATATTAAGTTCACTCTCTTAGACAATAATACTAATAGTACTTCGTGTAGTATTGGTTATGGTAGTGTTTCATTATTAGTCAGCTTCCTGATCCTATTTGTAGTAGATGTTGTATTTTAGTTAGACTTCATTCTCTATTCCTAGCTGTGTTAGGAATCTCTCCTATATATACTCTATCATGTATTCCATAATTAAAGGAGCAATATTATTATTCCAATATTTCGACATGGTATCAAAGCCACCGCTCTTGGTGACCTAAAAAAGTTCTTTGCTCCCACCACCGCCGCCGGTAATTCCGGCGACGGTGGCTCCACCCTATGCACCTCTATTTTCTTTTTCTTCTTTATCCTCAAATCAACTTCTCCATTCAAATGAAAAAAAACCCTTGTTGAAATCACACAAAAAAAACTATCAACGGAGGAACTTCTCTCTTGTCATCTCCATGGTTCTTCAAAAAAAAACCCAACTCCTCACAAACTCTCTCAGATCATCCTATCTTCTCAAAAAAAAGAAAAAAAAATGATTGTTGTTTCTCTCCAATTCACTATATCAAAATCTCAGACCCAAATTTTTTTCCATCTCCAATTCTTAACCTACTTTTTCTCTCTAAAATCACTCATTCTAATCATCAACCTCCCTTCTCTTTCTCTTCTGTTGAACCAATAAAAATCCAAAGTAAATCAGCACAAAAGCAAAGCCAAGAGAGGAAGTAGTGAAAGAGGAAATAAGACCTCTACAACTCACCCCTTCAAAAAGAAAATAGGGCATTGCCCGGATCCAAGAAAAAGACAAAAAATGTCAAGGATCTTCAGTCAAACAGGCACCTCCAGTAGCCTTCTCTATTCTTCTTCGACGTCAGCAGCTACAAGCGCACGCCAACCTTCTCTCTTCTTCATCGACGTCAGCAGCTACTAGCGCACGTCAATTTCTCTCTTCTCCAACGACGTGAGCAGCCACCGGCGCATGTCAGACTTCTCTCTTCTCAAAGTTTCTTGTTTCCAGCTAGTGTCCAAGCTTCCTCTTGCTTCAGCCAGAGTTCAGCTTGAGGGGGGATGTTAGACAATAATACTAATAGTACTTCTTGTAGTATTGGTTATGGTAGTGTTTCATTATTAGTCAGCTTCCCGATCCTATTTGTAGTAGATGTTGTATTTTAGTTAGACTTAATTCTCTATTCCTAGTTGTGTTAGGAATCTCTCCTATATATACTCTATCATGTATTCCATAATTAAAGGAGCAATATTATTATTCCAATATTTCGACACACTCGTCCCACAAAACCTTTTCAACTTTCTCATCTTACTATACGTGTTTCATAAAACATTTCAATATGGCATGAATATAATGGACACAATTACCCTTATTACTTTGTTTATGTAAGGGTAATTGTGATCTATATTTACACACATGTAAATTTTTTATACCTATTTTTAATACAGTAACTTTGTTAGTTTACGTAAGTATTTTTATCGATTATTTGAAAAATTAAAATAGTCATGTCCTTTATTATTTTGTACTCCTTATTTTTTATATACCGGAGTATGATGTAGCTTTAATTTTAAATATGTATTCTTTTTATACTTATTTTAATCATGCATGATAACTTTGTTTACTTAAGTATTTTTGTCAATCATTGGATAAAATAAAATAGTTAATTATAACATCTCTAATTTTATAAATTTTTAACTTAAATTTTCAATATGGAATTTTGTTTTTATTTCTATACTACCGCACAAGCGGACCTTGAAATAATGTGGAAGAGTGGGGTCACTATTCAAAAGTTAGAAAGATTCTTACATGATCTTAAAGTCCACGGTCATTTTATTGACATTTAATTTGTGCATTGGTGTTGTATACGATTAAGCCTTTTGAAAAAAATCCACTTAGTAGGCCTTGAAATGCGTTAGAAGATCCACATTATTTCAACATTTCACATGTGAATCTTAACTTTAAGAAAGAAAAACTTTTCAATTTATCACACCCACCATTTATTTTTTATTTCAATCTATCTTCTTTTTATTTATTATTTAATTTAAGTATTTATTACAATAAATTAGTTAAGTCGTTTGTATTTCATAAATTTTTTAATGTAATTTTATAATATACTCCAGAAAATTACTTTCGGGTGACACGAGTTTTGTTGAAACTACTTGTAGGTCCTTGCATTTTACAAAAAAACATCAAGGTTCCTTACATTTTGTTGTAAAGACTATGAGGAGACATTCCGTTCACTATTCCTTTAATGGTAGTTAAAAAATATTATTTTCTTGTTTCGCCCTCAATGATTTATGTTAATAAAGCTCAGCGCATTCACTTTTTATTTCCTTTTTCTTTATTTTTTTCTTTTTTAATAAAGTTTTTCTTCAATTCCTTATGTAAGCTAAGTATTTTTTTCAAAAATTTAAAATTGTTTGTCTAATATAAAAAATAAATGCAATTAAAATAATTATAGTAAGGACAAAATGAGAAATAATTCATTTTAAACAGTCATCTACGAAATATTAAATGAAATGTCCCCTCCCAAACTTTACCACAAAATGTAAGAGTACTTGATTTTTTTGGAAATTAAAATGTAGGGACCTGCGAGTTATTTCAGCAAAACTTGCTTCACATACATGAAAGTAATTTTTTGAATATACTCCCTAAAGTATACTCTCTAGTTTATTATAAAGTAAATTCCATAATTGGTCCTTTATAACATGAAGGTTTCCATATTTAGTCCTCTATTATTAAATATTACCTTCGTAGTCCTTTTTTAAGGGTGTCTTTCCACAAATGGTCCTTTTTTGATCTTCCGTCATGTGAGTGTTAATTTAAAGGCTAAAAGTATAATTTGACATCAACATTATGTCTAGTGACGTGTTCTGATACTGGTTAAGTAGATAACACAAAAATAATGAATATGAATATGGGCTAGGATTCCGACGAATGACTATATTTGTAGACTATGGTAGTAGTAGAAAGCGAATGTAATTCACAAACGACGCAAACGGAACAACTTTGGGAATTGTGCATGATAAAAAAGATATATTATCATTGTGAAATTACACTTTTAGCCCTAAAATTAACTCCTACATGATAGAAGATCAAAAAAGACTACTTGTGGAAAGATACCCATAAAAGAAGGACCACTGGGGTAATATTTGATAATAGAAGACTAAATAGGGAAACCCCCTATTA